GGGCTCGGTGGCTCAGCCTGTAATCCCGCGCCTTGGGAGGCTGAGGTGAGTGAATTGCCTGAGCCCGCAGGTTTGAGACCCGCCTGGGCAATTTGGTGAGACCTCATCTCTGCAATAAATAAAAAAAAAAAATTAGCTGGGTGTGGTAGTGCGCACCTGTAGTTGCAGCTACTTGGAAGGCTGAGGCGGAAGGATTGCTGGAGCCCAGCAGGTCGAGGCTGCGGTGGCCCAGAGTGCCCACTGCACTCCAGTCTGGGCGACACAGTGAGGCTCCAACTCAAAAAAAAAAAGAAAGGCCTTTTATGCAGATGAGCTGGGGGCAAGGAGGGTGCAGCTCCAGTTACTCAGCTGAAACCCAGCAGTGCAGCCTCTCCGGTTTCCGCAGCGTTTTGAACCACCTGTTAAATAAGTCAGTGGAGTTGTCCAGGACAAAGCAGTCCTCCCTGGATCCCCGGGGGAAAAATCTGGTCATTTCTGGCAAAAGACTTGAGCCAGCAGAGTCGAGGAAACTCGAGGAGGGGTCGTGAAGACACCTGTCCCCTGTCTGGCCACTGCCCAGGCAGTCAGTGTCCTCCCAAGGTTGGAGGTTGAGGTAGAAACTGCAGGAGACACAGACTTGCAAGGGCCCGTGGCAGGGGTGTTTGGGCCAAGGGCTGCAGGTGCAGAGAGGGTTCTTGGGCGCCTGAAGAGCGTGGGGCAGGGGAGTGGCTGACGGGGGCCCTGAGGCCTTCAGGAGCCACCCGCGTGGCGGCCCCTCCTGCTTCTGGGACACCTTCCTGTGGTGGCTCCTGGAAACCTGAAGTTGTCTTGGCCACCATGTCCTAGGGGCGGGGCTGGAATTGGAGACAGAGCATCTGGTGTCACGCAGGGGAGCCAGCTGTCCTGACAGGAGACAGGGAATTCGTGCTCCCAGGTTGAGTCTGCTGGCCTGTGACGTCAGCCCAGGGAGTAGGAAGGAGTATTTTTGCCAAGATTCAAACAGCACCAGGGGACGTCTGGGTGGGGGAGGTGCGGGTGGGGTCTGCGTGCTGTGCCCTCCCTCCTGCACCTGCTGTTCCTGTGAGCAGTCACCAGGAGGTCAGTCAGCGGGCCAGGGCAGGCAGGAGCCCCTGGAGACCTCTGCTGCTGTGGCCATGGCCAGAGACGCAGCGGGCAGTCCTGTCCACACCAGACACACTCCACCCAAAAGTCTGGTGTGGACAGGACTGCCCGCTGCGTCTCTGGCCATGGCCACATAGACAGCTCCAGAGACTGCACTGGCTTGGTGCCACCTGCCTTCCCAGCATGGAGTATGGCCTTGGCCATGGCTTGCGTCTCCTTGGGTTTGCTCAGTACCTGCATGGTATCATGTCAGTATGATTTCTGCAGGCCTAGAACCTCCAGTCCCTACCTCTGCAATCTGGCTGGGACATCAGCACTGGACAGTGTGTGGAAAAGTGAAGTGACCTTCCTGCTTCCCACAGCTGGTTACTGGCTAGCTGAGTCTTAGTCTTATTCTTTTTTTGAGTCGGAGTCTCACTCTGTTGCCCAGGCTGGAGTGCAGTGGCATGCTCATGGGCACTGCAGCCTCGACCTGTTGGGCTCTGGCGATCCTTCTGCCCCAGCCTTACAAGTAGCTGGAACCATAGGTGTGCACCACCATGCCTGGCTAATTTTTTTTTTTTTTTTTGATTTATTGTAGAGATGAGGTCTCGCCAAGGTGCCTAGGCTGGTTTTGAACCTCCCGGACTCAGGCAGTCCTCTTGCCTGGGCCTCCCAAAGTGCTGGGATGACAGATGACAGGCGTGAGCCACTGTGTCCAGCCTGGGTCTCTCTTTTTTCTTTTTAGAAAGCAGGATTTATTAAGAGGACAGAAAAACTCCCACAGTGGGAGGAGACCCGAGGGGGGTGCCCCTGTCTTAAGTCTCTGCCCTGCAGGCGGGTGTCCTGGCCCGCCAGTGGCAACAGGAGGACAGGACTCAGGCTGGCTGCTCACCCCGGTGCTCTCCTAGGAGCCATGCGAGGCCAGCGGAGCCTGCTGCTGGGCCCGGCCCGCCTCTGCCTGCGCCTGCTTCTGCTCCTGGGCTACCGGCGCCGCTGCCCGCCCCTGCTCCGGGGCCTGGTGCAGCGCTGGCGCTATGGCCAGGTCTGCCTGCGCTCCCTGCTCTACAACTCCTTCGGGGGCAGTGACACCGCCGTGGACGCCGCCTTCGAGCCGGTCTACTGGCTGGTGGACAACGTGATCCGCTGGTTTGGGGTGGTGAGTGACGCCGGGAGAGCGGGAAGGGGCGTTGGGGGGACACATGCCATCAGGACCTGTCTCTGATGGACCCACCCGGTTTTGGAGGCCAGCCCCGCCCCCCCGGGAAGCTCCCGAGGTCCTCGGGGCCTGGCCGTCTGACCCCACGCGTGCCGGCAGGTGTTTGTGGTGCTGGTGATCGTGCTGACCGGCTCCATCGTGGCCATCGCCTACCTGTGTGTCCTGCCTCTCATTCTCCGAACCTACTCGGTGCCACGACTCTGCTGGCATTTCGTCTACAGTCACTGGAACCTGGTCCTCATCGTCTTCCATTACTACCAGGCCATCACCACTCCTCCCGGGTACCCCCCCCAGGTGGGTCTCCACAGGGTCACGGGGAGGGGGAGCCTGGCAGGCCGTGGAGCTGCCCGGAGCGAGGGCAGGGGCATGCCTCGGGGTCCTTTGAGGGCTGGAACTGCTGTCGCGGCCGCCGCCACCATGCTCTTCCCTTCACACAGGGCAGGAATGACATTGCCACGGTGTCCATCTGCAAGAAGTGCATTTACCCCAAGCCGGCCCGAACACACCACTGTAGCATCTGCAACAGGTGGGTCTGGGCTGCGACCCGAGGGCAGAACCTAGACCCAGGGTTGGCTGAGGCACGGATGAAGCGCCCGGCAAGTCCCGGGGTGCCCTCTCCCCTGACACCGCAGCCTTGGGGTGGTCCTGTGAGTCAGGCACTGGTTCCACGAACAGAAACAGGCTCAGAGAGACGAGAGGCCTTGCCCAGAGTCATGGCCAGCAAGGCCAGGCTGCCTTGGGCCTGTGCCCTTCCCGCTTGGCAGCATGCTGGACCTTGCAGGAAAGGGCTGGCACCGACCGCTCCCGCTCCTGGCCTGGGCCGTTGTCACTGTCACAGCCTGTGTCCCTCCTCGCAGGTGCGTGCTGAAGATGGATCACCACTGCCGTATCCTTTTGCTGTCTCCTGTCTGACCCCTTCCTTAGCTCCAGAGCACTGTGCAGGGCTGGCGGCCACTGACTCAAGGCTTCTAGAGTCATGCAGCAGAGAACACTGGGCTGTTGAGAAGTTAGTAGGTGGAGTCGTGGGGTGGCCATCTCCCGGGGAAGCAGGAGGTTCACAGGCACTCCTTGGAGCGAGGCATCGTCTAACAGCTTTCTTCTGGGTATGCCAGGCAGAGCCACGGGTCCCCTTCTGCTGTCCCGTGCAGGTGTCTGGCGAGTCCCAGCTAGGCTGAAGGACAACAGCTCCGTTTTACGGAAGGATTTCGGTTTCCCAGATTTTCTGGTGAGACTTGAGGGTCTGAAAAGCTTAGGACACTTTCAGCGTGACCTCAGGAGGCCATCCGATTTTCCCGCCTTGGGAAAACGGTTCTTGATGACTGGCAGCCTGAGGCTTCAGCAATGTCGTCACGAGCCAGAGATGCACCAGAGTGGCCTGGACACCCCTCGAGATTGCGTGCGCTCTTGTCCTTAATCCTCCTCCCACCAGCCTGGCTAAACAATTGTGTGGGCCACTATAACCACCGGTACTTCTTCTCTTTCTGCTTTTTCATGACACTGGGCTGTGTCTACTGCAGCTACGGAAGCTGGGACCTTTTCCGGGAGGCTTATGCTGCCATCGAGGTAAGCGGGCGTTAGGAGCATGGTGCTCAGCGGTGCGGAACTCTGCGATGCCAAACCTGGCCCGAAGGAGTGGGCTGGGTGCACCCCGTCCCGCAGGCCCGAGTGTAACCAGCACTGTTTTCCATCCCCTTAGAAAATGAAACAGCTCGGCAAGAACAAACTACACCCGGTTGCCAACCAGGTGGGCCGTCCCCACCCCACTGCCTCCTGCTGCTCAGGCCTGGGGCGTAGAGTTGCTCAGGCAACTGGGGCGACCTGCTGGTTTAGTTGAGGCTGGCCGGGAGGCCGCCGTAGAGCAGATCGGGAGTGTTCAGGGAGGTGTCTGCGGTGGGTAGACCGAGTGGTCCGGGGCAAGCTGGAAGGTCCTTGCGACAGCTTGCCGTCTCTCCATCAGCACTTCTCTGGGCTGAGCCAGCACGGCCCCTTGGCGGTGGCCAGAGCAGCAGGGGTCTGTGTCCGTCTTTGTGGTGGGGCTCCAGGGGACAGAGGTCAGGCTGGCCGGTCTGCTCACCCCTTGCTCCTGGCCATCTGCATCTGGACCCCCCACCTGCTGACCCCGCCTTGGGCTCCCATGACTGTGTCCCTGCTGGCCCTCTGTCCATTCAGGAGCTCATGGTTCTCCCCCCGCCCCCATCAGTCCATGCTGGGTGGGGGGATGCAGCCCCAGTGCAGGAGCTCTGGCTGCAGGCTGGCTCCCCTGGAGTCCCATGTGTGCTGTCCACTGGAAGGCCCAGGGCCAGCTCCCCCTGTGCTTCGCCATCTTGTCCAGATCCGCTTGACCCAGCGTTTGTCCATGTGAGGTGCCGCTGGGCTTGGCCCACCCATCTGGCTGCTTCCTTGATTCCCCTGTGGCTTCACCCCCGGTTTTCTGCCTGGGTGTGGATCACTTCCTGCCTGTAGGTGCTGGGGGCTCCAGTGGCAGTTGCTGGAGACCCACGGAGCAGAGGAGCCACGCTTCGCTGTTTTCTTTTTCTAGACTTACCACCAGACCCCACCACCCCCCTTCTCTTTCCGGGAAAGGGTGACTCACAAGTGTCTTGTCTACCTCTGGTTCCTGTGCAGGTAACTGATTCTCATGTTTGATAGTTTTTAGGCAGGGGCACCTTCAGGAAAACCTTTTTTAGCATCCACGTGCAGGCAGGAACCCGTCCCTGAGCGAGCAGCCACTGTTCTAACTCAGAGTCTGGTTAGAGCAAGGCCGCCCTTCCGCTCCCGGCATTTGGGGCAGGGAGCACTAAGAAGGCCAGCGTTGCTTGTTGCTAACAGACGCAAGCTCGTGCTGGGCCAAGGTAAGCGCGACTCATTTAACCCTTGTAGCACCGAGTAACGGGGGGGCGAGTCTGTGTAGAGATGAGGAAAACTGGAAGTCAGAGGGCGAGGTGACATGTTCAGTGACACATGGCGAGGAAGGGTGTCCAGCCTCTCAGCCATCTCGCTCCCGCTGCGGTGCTCTTACTGCCCTCCACTGTCTCCCAGGCGTGGGTATTTCAAAAGTACAGAACATTTAATAACCTAGACCCATCGCCCCAGCCTCCTTTCCACATAACTTACTATTTCTTGTTTTGGGTTTTTTTATTGTCAGAGCCTCACTGTCGCCCAGGCTGGAGTGCAGTGGCACGCTCACAGCCTCCGCAGCCTCAACCTGCTGGGCTCAGGCGATCCTTCAGCTCAGCCCTCCAAGTAGCTGGAACCACAGGCATGCACCACCACGTCTGGCTGATTTTTTTTTCCTTTATTGTAGAGACAAGGTCTTACCATGTGGCTCCGGCTGAGCTCAGGCAGCCCTCTTGCCTCTGCCTCCCAAAGGATTATAGGCATGAGCCACTGTGCCCGGCTTCAATTTTTCTTTTTGTAGAGACAGGGTCTCACTGTTGCCCAGGCTGGTCTCAAACTCCTGGGCTCAAGCGATCCTCCTACCTTGGCCTCGCAAGTGTTGGAATTCTAGTTGTGAGCCACTGCGCCCAGAAGATGCCTCTTCACTGATGCTCCTTACATATGCAGGGAAGAGTTCACGTAGGATGCATGCTGGGATAAGGAAGGCATAGCAGACAGCCTGGCAGCCAACCACAATCAATCAGCTCAGTTTCAGACTCACTTCCTCCAGCCCGCCCCACGCGTCTTTGCCCTCTTTTCTTAGCTCTGTGGCACTTGCCCTGGGAGCCCTCACTGTGTGGCATGCTGTTCTCATCAGTCGAGGTGAGACCAGCATCGAAAGGCACATCAACAAGAAGGAGCGACGCCGGCTACAGGCCAAGGGCAGAGTGAGTAGAGCCGAAGGCTGGGGCAGGGGTTGGACAGCTGTGCCTGCCACTCTGGAAACAGAGGCCACAATCAAGGCTGCCTTGGGCAGGCGTCACGCAAAGCCAGGACTTGCCCACCTGAGCTGTCGTTTAGCCAACTTAGTCTTGCAATGTGAGAGGGGATTAAGAGGATGAGGCTTGTGGAAACGTGTTTTTCTTGACCTTAGGTATTTAGGAATCCATACAACTACGGCTGCTTGGACAACTGGAAGGTGTTCCTGGGTGTGGACACAGGAAGGTAAAGCAAGACACACGGACCCATGCTGTCCAGCAGAGGCTGTGGCGAGGCCAGTGTTCTGCACCTGTGGGCATGGGGAGTGTGGCGAGTGTGACCCAGGACTGGGATAGTGGCCACTGCCCTAGCACAATCCTCCTGTGTATAGTTTGGACCCACACAGCCCACACTGGGGGGTTCTGAGTAGCAGATGAGGCTGCAGCACGACCAGGGGGCCCCTGGGAAAGCCGCTCTCAGGGAGCGGCCTCTTGGCGCAGAGTGGGGCAGTGCCTGGAGTCCAAGCCAAGGATCTGTGAAATGGAGGCAGTCGATTTGTGACACAGGTCCTGACGATGACGGAGATAGCGATGACAGGAACGTGCATCCCTCCCTCTGCCTTTCCAGCCTTGCTGCACTCCTGCCTGTCACTGTGCTTGCCATGGTCCCCCACTGACGCGTGGCCCCAAACCGCCAAGGGCCTTCAGGGCACCACAGTGTGTATTTGTTGGACCAGAGCAGGGAGAAGAACCGAGAACTTGTGTCCCCTCTGGCTTCAGGCCCCCCGAGGGCTTGCTGAGGGACAGTGTGCAGGCCCGGGCCCTGGACTCAGCGTCCCTCCTCTCTTCCAGGCACTGGCTCACCCGGGTGCTGCTGCCGTCCAGCCACCTGCCCCACGGGAATGGGATGAGCTGGGAGCCCCCTCCCTGGGTGACAGCGCACTCAGCCTCTGTGATGGCCGTGTGAGCTGGACCGCAGCCGCCGCAGCTCGGGCACCCACCTGCTTCCTGTGTTGTCTCAAGGACCTCCAAGGGCAGCCTTTTCTAGAATCCTTGGTCAAAAGAGCCAGTGGCCCGCCCTAGGGTACCACATAAGGACAACTCAAGGACCAGCTTTTGGCTGCTGCAGAAGCAAGACACAACATGGAGGAATCTTAAGACTGGTTTCCCTTTACTCAGGCAACAGACCTTCCAGCCCCAGACTGGGGTCAGGCAGCTAGTCACCCTACCCTGTGCCGACCCCAGCCCCTCCAGGTCACAGCACTGGGGCTGCCATGGCCTCGTCTATGTGCTGTCTGAGAAGACACCTGACTGGTACAGCTGAGATCCTGGCTTCTCAGCGCGGCAAAGGCACCAGCTCTGCTGCTGAGGTCACTGCCACTTCGCGTATGCTGCTGAAGGGAGCAAAATTAAAGGTATTTGATTTTTAAAGGCACGTAGCCTCTCACTGTGTGTTGCCTCCATGGACAGGGAAGGGAAAAAGTCAAGGCCAAGGCCTGGTGAGCGGTGTTCTGGTCCTGCCTCCTGTGCCCTGACCTGGAGACACAGGACGCCCTGAGGAGTCCTGGCGAGTCTCCGTCCCTCTCTGCTGCTCCAGTGCAGGCCAGTGGCCCTCCGGCTATGTGCCACAAGGCGTGTGTGCGGTGGCCAGTGTCCAACAGCCAGTCCGTTACCAAAAGAAGCCTTTATTCTTCAGCAGGTACACACATAGCCATGGTCCCTGGTCCGCAGGGCCACACGCATCTCACTCACCCTCGGCAGCGCCTGTCCCCTTTTCTGACACACCCACAGCCCTAGGGCTCTCTTCAGACACAAGTGGTCTCACACTGAGTCACTTCTCAAAGCCAGCGGGAGCCAGGACTCTTCTGTTCCCCACGCAGCCCCGCAGCAGAGGCTAGCGTGCTGTGCCCATAGGAAGGGCGGGCAGAGGCCAGCAGTTTCCCTGCCTTGGGCAAGATGGTTCCATAGGAGTTCCAGGTTAGATTGTCAGTTGGAACAGGGAGGCCAGGGCTGAGGGCTCAGCTGCCAGGGCTTCCCAGCAGAAACCTGTGGGCAAAAAGGACGCTGGTGCACTCATGGCAAGGCTTGTTTGGACCCGTCTCTCCCCAGGCCCTGGCGACTCACCACTCTCCCCGAGCTGACACGGCTTCCTTGCGCACCAGTCTCTTCCTGTCGTCCAGGGGTTTGGCCAGGGCCCGGATCACCTGCGGTCTGTGCGGCAACAGCTGTGGGGTCAGAGATCACCTTAGCCTGGCACGTCCAAGGCAGCCGAGAGCGCCGCGGCTCTGATTCTGGTCAGCGACTGTTCTGAGGGAAGCAGGTCGTCCTTGGCGATTCCAGGGAGGGCTACGGGGCAGGGTGGCCCCTCTGTCGTGGGGGCGTCAGGGTTTACGGGGTCCATTCTGTGTCCAGGGAAGACAACCCTCCTTATCTACACCCCGTAAGGCCTATTTCAGTCCCACAGTAGGACAGCTGAGGCCTAAAGGCACGTATCTGGCTCTTCTGAGGCGTCCCCAGCACAGGAAGGGACAGGTGCGGTGCGTACCACAGGGGTGGGCAGGCGCGTGAGGGCGTGCATACACTGCAGGGCAGCAATCCGGACGGCCTGGAACACAACCACAGCAAGGTGAGGGACAGCCCGGGAAAGACGCGGCCGTCCCGGAGCTGCTGGGTGCAACGCACCATGGAAGGGCTGGAGGCGAGGGCCAGGAACTTGGTGACGAGGGTGTCGACGTGCAGGCTCATGACTTGGGGTGCTTCCAGCAGGAGAGGCTGAAGGCAGCCGAGGGTGGAGAGCTGCACCACGCCGTCAGGGCAGGACAGGGCTTCCAGCAGCAGGGACAGCAGCTGAGGGGCGGCGGGAAAGGGGGGTGGCCACGTGGAGGACCTGGCTCTCCCCCCTGCCACCCGGCCACCCGCAGCTTGGGGAGTGCTTGGTCCCTCGCTGGGCTGCCTGCAGGACTCACCGTGGGCAGCTCTGGCAGGAGCACAGGCTTGGGCAGCCTGTTGAGTACGTGAGACAGAGCCTTCAGGTAGTTAGGCTTCACGTCTGCAAGACACGAAAAGGCACCCCGGGAGAAACCGGGCTCAGCCATGCACCTTGAGCGTTCAGCTTCAATCTGGGGTGAGGCTGAGACATCAGCCTACAAAGGTGAAAAGACAAAACCCCAGGCTCAGAATGAGCAAGACAGGCACCTAGAGGGTTACCTTCTCGGTGCCGGCCACGATACAGATCACAGCAGCACACAACTCTGAGGTTGTCTTAGGGGCTGTGGCTGTGCAAAGGACAGGTCTGTGTGCCTGGGGCCTTTCTTCCAGACACTCCTCACCTTGGGGGGCCGCATGGAAGCCCTGGACCAAAGCAGGCACGTTGTCTGTGAAGAAGCGCTGGCGGAACATGATCCGCACCTCGGCGTGGCCAGCGCGAGTCAGCACGTCGGTGCAGTCAGACATGAGCAGGGAGAAGCCGTCGGCGGCTGCCTGGCCTAGTTCTGGGTCACTCAGGAGGCCCATGAGCTGGAGAAAGGTAAGGTACATCGGGGAGGAGCGTTTACACATCAGGGAGGAGGACGCAAGTCTTTCTGGGAGGACAAGGACCCACAGGAAGCGCCTGTGCGTCCCAGCTTCTCCCACCTACGGAAGTACATACCTGAGCTGTGAGGCGGGAGCTGAGAGGGTGGTATCTGAGCACCAGGGCCTTCGTTACCTGCAGTGCAGAGAGCACAGTCAGGCCCGGCACTCACACCCCAGGGCCCAGAGACATGCTCCTGGTTCAGGGTCAAATAGGGACACCTGACTGAAGCAGACATAACTGCCTCACTGACCAGACTCCATTCCGACTCTCACCCAGAGAAGCAGCGTGAAGGCCTGACTGCGACAGGGCCCAGAGTCCAGGCCAGCCTCCACCGTGTCCACAGCCAGCTGCAGGAATTCGTCCAACTGCTGCCCTGAAGAAAGGGAGGGAATGCTGATGCCAAAGTCTCACGCTTCCCCTTCACTACGAAGGAGGAAGTCATGGAAACACAGAGATCCCAGAGAAGCTGCTAGAAAAGGGCAGCATCGTTTGGCCCCTGGACAGAAGGACGGGACGCCTGCAAGAGAGCCTAGTATTCTCATCACGCAGGCGTGCCGTCTGCTCCCAACGAAGGATGCCCAGCCTAGCCCCGTGCAGGGGCGACGGCAGAGCTGGGCAGCCTTCTCCTGGCTGCCCTCTCCCCTCAGGTGCTATGCTTTGCCCAATTCTGGTCTTGCCTCTGGTGCCAAGGGCTGTCCCAAGGACAGCGCTGGAGCAATGAAGCCCTGCTGTAACTAGCAAGCTCCTTTCTTTTTTTTTTTGAGCTGGAGTCTCACTGTCGCCCAGACTGGAGTGCAGTGGCCGCTCCCGGCCACCGCAGCCTTGACCCATTGGGCTCCGGCGATCCTTCCGCCTCAGCCTTCCAAGTAGTTGGAACTACAGGTGCGTGCTACCATGCCTGGCTAATTTTTGATTTATTGTAGAGACGAGATCTCGCCAATTTGCCCTGGTGGGTCTCGAACCCACGGGCTCAGGCAATCCATTTGCCTCGGCCTCCCAAAATGCTGGGAGCCACTGAGCCCGGCCTGCAAGCTCTTTTCTAAAAGAGGATGAGGGCTGAGCTTGAAGGCCTCCCGGGCAGCTGGTTCCGGGAGGCTCCCGACAGTCTAGCTGCAGTACCTGCAGGGTGCTTGTTGAGAAGGCCTGCGAAGCACTTGGCCGCGGCGGTGGAGGAGAAGGGGCAGCCGTGGCAACGGCTCAGCTCCAGAAGTTCCCGCATGAGCTGGTCCAGCTGGGGGATTTCCACCTGCAGAAACCCTGGCGTGTCATGGATCCAGAGAACACCCAACCTCTAAGACAGCCAGCACCCAGTGGCAGCAGGGAGTAGGATGGGTGAGACTGACTTCTCCAGTGGGGCAAGTGAAAGATCAGCTTGCTGGGGCAGATTTCAGCTCAGAGTCACTAGGGCCCACCACCCCTCGTCAGGGTTCAACAAAGGTGCTCCCTGAATGTGCTCACTCACATCTCGAGGCAGGGAGCACACGAAGGCCATCAGCAGCGCAACCAGCCGCCTCTGCCCTGAGGAGCCGTCCTGGAAGGCAGAAGAGCCTGGTCAGGCCTGTCCTCCGCCTTCCCAGATTAGCCCTGAAAAGGAAACCTGAGGACATGAAGCTCCAAGACTCCCCCATTTGATCCGTCACCTGGAAGGGCTGGAACCTGCTCGGGAAGCTGTTTTCAGGCAGAAAAGAGACGTTGCCGTCCAAGAAGAGGGGCACGATGTGTGCGACGCTCTGGGCAGCCACCCTGGAGGCACAGTGCTCGGTATGGTCAAGGAGCCAGGGTTCCAAATCAGCCCTGCCCGCCACAGACCCGGGGTTCACATTAGGGTCACCAAGCCAGTGGGACAGGCCCTGGGCATTCACACACTTGCAGACATTAACTCGCCCCATATTGTGTGCCAGGACCCATTCCCTTCTAGGCCAACTTAAGGTGGATTTCAAAAATGCTCCACTTCCTTTCACTTTGTCAGCAGAACTTTCAAAGCCATGTGCTGCCTCCATGTTTAAATACAGGTCAAAGGACAGCTGACAAGACAGCGGTCTGTGGCTGCTTCCCAAGATGCCATCCTCCTCCCTGGGTCAAGCCACGTCACAGCTACACGTACTCAGGGCTCAGGTGGGTGGTGGCAGTGCCAAAGACAGACACCATGGCGGCCAAGACCTCATCCTCCAACAGCACTTTTCTCAGAACTGAGGGCTCCTTCTCTGCAAAACACACACACATACACCAAATCACAGGCCACGGCCGGGGCTGAGAGGTCCAGGTGATGGGTCCTGTCACCATCACACCAGGGCTCAACTCCTGCCACATGGCAGCAGTTTCCAATTTGTCCTCTAGGAGAGCTGTGCTCCTGAGAACCAGCAGGACACCAGAAACTGCAGTGATCTAACCCGAGGCCATGGAGAGCTCTTGAGAACGTCCTGCAGTCCTTTGACTGGACAACAGTGGGAAGTAAGGACAGCTGATATAAACGTTCTTTTCTTTCTGAGCCAGGGTTTCACTGTTGCCCAAGCTGGAGTGCAGTGGCATGAATACAGCTGTATCAGCATCCCAGGTGACTGGGATTACAGGTGTGCATCAACATACCTGGCTAGTTTCTAAAATATATATTTATTTTTTATTTTTTTTGAGTTGGAGTCTCACTCTGTCGCCCAGACTGGAGTGCAGTGGCCGCTCCCGGCCACCGCAGCCTCGACCTGCTGGGCTCTGGCGATCCTTCTGCCTCAGCCTTCCAAGTAGCCAGAATTACAGGCATGCACTACCACGCCTGGCTGATTTTTGATCTATTGTTGAGATGAGGTCTCGCCAAGTTGCCCAGGCAGGTCTCAAACCCGCGGGCTCAGTCTACTCACCTCAGCATCCCACGGTGCGGGATTACAGGCTGAGCCACCGAGCCCGCCTTAAAATATATACTTAAAGACCAAGTCTTACTGTGTCGCTCAGGCTGGTCTTGAACTTCTGGGCTCAAGTAATCCTCCTGTCTTGGCCTCCCAAAGTGCTGGGATTACAGGCATGAACCTCCAAGCCTGGCCTGTGAACGTTTTTTTTGCCACTGCAGCCTCGACCTACTGGGTTCAGGTGATCTTTTTGCCTCAGCCTTCCAAGTAGCTGGAACTACAGGTGTGTACCACCACACCTGACTTATTTTTCTTGACTTATTATAGAGACAAGGCCTGGCCAAGTTGCCCAGGCTGGTCTTGAGCCCCTGGGCTCAAGCAGTCCTCTTGCTTCGGCCTCCCAAAGTGCTGAGATTACAGGCTTGAGCCACTGTACCCAGCCTATGAACATTAAAAAAATTTTTTTTTAATATGTGGGGTACAAGCCGGGCTCGGTGGCTCAGCCTGTAATCCCGTGCCTTTGGGAGGCTGAAGTGAGTGGATTGCCTGAGCCCATGGGTTCGACACCCGCCTGGGCAGCGAGACCTCATCTTTACAATAAATCAAAAAATCAGCCAGGCGTGGTAGCGCATGCCTGTAATTCTGGCTACTTGGAAGGCGGAGGTGGAAGGATCGCCAGAGCCCAGCAGGTCGAGGCTGCGGTGGCCGGGAGCGGCCACTGCACTCCAGTCTGGGCGACAGAGTGAGACTCCAACTCAAAAAAAAAAAAAAAATGTGGGGTACAATTCAGGGTTAGGTATACAAATGTTCATTACGCAGGTATCCTTGTTGACAAGGTGTGTGTCCCCCTCCCCTTCCGAAACATTCTTAACATAAGAAATATGTTTAAAAGTCACATGGATTTATCTTCATGGGTCCATAATGGTTGTAGCAATTATACACTGAACACCTACTGTGAGGCAGGCACTCCACTTGACTTTATTTAATCCTTACCAACTGCCCTGGGATATAGACATTACTCTTTACCTCCATCTTACAAATGAGGAAACAGGCTTAGAAAGGCTTAACAGCTAGCTGCACCTGAGGATGAAACCCAGCCAGATCCAGAGCCCAAGTGTGACTACACTCATTACACAGCAATGAAAGGGAATCGTGTGCAGCCTTGTGGGCGCAGATGACACTAGTGGGTTTTGGTTCTTGCTGTGGCCAGGCTGCAGCCTTTGCTATGAAGTGAAATCTCACCCTGGGGACAAAGGTTCAAAATCGACCTTTGATAGCACATGGTGCCGTACCCCAAGCACCCAAGGGGTGGCAGTGCGGCTCAACACTAGCAGAAGGTCGGGAGTGGGGCGGAAAGTTACCTGGCATGGACGCCTGCACGGCCAGGGCAAGCAGGCAAGGTATAGCCGTCTGGTGGAAATACCTGCAGCTCTCAGGGTGCTGCTGACATTTTTCTGCCACCTGTTGGAGGCTCTGACAGACAGCAATGACCTCACTGGATCCTTCAACCATGTTCCCTGTGGGTGAGAAAGTCAGTGTTCTCTGTGGGGCTTTCCTGAAAACACTTCCATGTGCTTCTGATACAGCAGATGGGAAGAGTCAAAGACGAATGACTGAAGAGACCAGCGTGTCTTGCTAAACAGCCACATTACTGGACTCTCTTGGCTGTGCTCTGTCATCTAGTCAGAAGTCAGGGAAGCACTCACACACAGGGGGCCAAAAACCTCGGAACTTATTTGCAAGACACTGTATGTTTACATTTCAGTCACCTTCAAAGCTGTCACTGTTTGATGCAGCACACCTGCAGAGATGCTTTTTCCATTGCTCAAAACAGTTTTTGAGTTCGTCCATTTTGATACCTTTTAGTGCTTCTGCCGTTTTTTGTTTCACCTCTTCCACGTTGGCAAAACATTTCCCTTGGAGGGCTTTCTTTAATCCAGAGAAGCAAACAAACAACGTCACCTGGACGAGATCAAGTGAATGGGAGAGCGGGCAATGGGATCGTGCCGTTTTTCGTCAAAAACTGAACACTCAGCTCGGTGTGGGCAGGTGTGCTGTCAATCACCCATTATGAAATGGGCAAACACACTGAAGGAATCTCCAAAAGAATTTACTGCTGGGTGCAGTGGCTCATGTCTATAATCCAAGCACTCTGGGAGGCAGATGCGAGAGGACTGCCTGAGCCCACGGGTTCAAGACCAGCCCGGGCAACTTGGCGAGACCTTATCTCTACAATAAATCAAAAAATTAGCCGGGCATAGTGGCACACGCCTACAGTCCCAGCTACTCGGGAGGCTGAGGTGGAAGGATCACCTAGCCCGTGGGTTGAGGCTGCGGTGGCCATGAATGTGCCACTGCACTCCAGCCTGAGCGACAGAGCAAGACTCTGACTCAAACACAAACAAAGCAAAAGTCCGACTTAAAAATAAGCAAATAAAATTTTAAAAAATTCACTGAAGCTGAACGAAGCCTCTCACAACGTAGCTAGTACACAGATGTTGATGGTTTGCTAAGACACTTCATCGAACAAGGGAAGCCGATGGGGGCCAACCCTCCAGAAGATAATTCTGGGTTTTTTTGGATCCCCCTGTACACGCTCTCCTTGTGCTTCCTAACAACCCTAGAAGCATCACTTTCCCCACTTTAAAAGGAGGCTATGGAGGCACAATGGAATGATCAGTGGCTTTTCCAGGGTCACAGTAAGTGGAAAGTCGGAGTCAAGCCAGGTGACACCCAGGCTCAGTACTCTTGCTGAAATGTGACAGCTGCCGCATCAACCAGGCAGACCCAAGTCCACCCAAAGAGCTGGGCAGGCCAAGGCAGGGAGCTTAGGCTGGTGAGGACCCCTGGAGATCTGTGAGGACCCTTCGTGATCAGCAAGTTTCCAGTATCAACCGCTGCTGTCATTTTTGGCGAGGAGCCTGTTAAGTGAGGCCTTCAATTCTGCGTTCCCGCAGGCTCCCTGCGGATGGCCCTGCTGCTGGGTGACAGACCATATTCTGAGCACCAGGGCCTGAGAATGGTGCTTTGCAATTCCAACCCCACAGGAAAATCACCTGGCACCCTCAACCGTGACTGCTGCCCAAGTCCCATTCCCCATCAGAGACTGGGACCCAGGCGGGCAATGGCATTTTAAAAAGGTCACCATGGCACCCTCATGCACAGCTGGGACACTGCCTCGGAGGTGCTGACTACAGCTGCCCACCCGCCTGCTCCGTGGCTGTTTCTCCTGGTAGTTACCTTTGTGCACCTCCCAGAGATGTTGCAACAGCAGAGGCAGTGTCTCCTTGACGAGGCTGGGGTGTGTCGACACAGCCGACAAGGCCTGCAGGCAGCGCAGATGCCGGGAGGCCTTGGCAGGCCCGTTCCTTCCAGTCAAGTCTGAGCCTCCTGAAAGCAACCCAGAGGCAAGGTTTTGTGGTGTGATGGCAAGCATGTAGGCCCAAGTCTTGCTGGGATGGGTGGGCCCCAGAAGATTGGAGACACATACCTGCGTGAAGCTCTTCAGCAAGCCTGGGCACCAGATGATTGCTGAAGGCCACGGGATAGAGAGTGGCCAGGGCTCCCGATGCCTCCAGCGCGGCCACCCTGCTGGGGCACAGAACAGATGAGTGCCGGCCACGCCTCTGGCCACCGTTCCCTTGCCTAGATCTGATCGGAGGCTGTCTGGGAGTGTGGGCTCCGAGGCCTTTCAGGAATCAAGCACCCACACCGCAGAGCTGGACAGGGCTTCGCACCGCCCGAGAAAGGAAAGCAGACCCATGTCCCCCCAGCCAATTGGCAGCCAGAGCCTGGCGTGGAGCCTGCCTCCCCCAAGGACAGCCAAGGGCCAGAAGCCCAGAGCCCTGGTCCTTGCTGGACCTGCCACCAGGACACAGGCAAGCATCAAGGTGCTCTGTGTCTCACTGCTTGAGATTCTTACCAACTCTGGGAATCCTCCTCCAGGAAACTCAGTCTGTAGAGGTGACCCACAGCCAGCTCCAAGTCCCCAGAAGACAGGAGATCTGTCATTAGACAGGAATGTGAACCTCATCTTTCTTTCCCTGCGGCCACCACAATCCTCTCACAACTCCTACCAGAAGCCCCCAACCACCCAGAGTTGCAGTGAGGATAGGATATCAAGGCTGCTGCTCACTTAGGACAGAAGTCGCTAGGTGAGGACCAATACCCACACCTTCTCACTTTCCCTTAAGATGTACCTGGCTGGGCACCCAAGACTGTGAGTGTGCGGATGCCAGCGAGCTGAAGCTGGGTGCTGGGGTCTGTCAGGGCCATGAATACCAGTGAGCACAGCTGGTCCTTGAAACTACCCAGAGGCCTCTGATCTAGGAAGAGACAGAGGCCGGGTTAGAAGGAAGCCCCTGCAGCCTACACCCCCAACTCAATGATCAAACTCGGGGCACACTTGGAGAACTGAACCCACCGGGGGCCCAGGAAGCACCATGGGGAAAAATTAACAGATGGCATCCTCTAAGTGTGCTCTCGTGCTCCAGCCTCAGAACGGAGCACCGTCCTTAGCCTCTCCTCCGAACACTTGCAGCTGTGCCGTCCTCCAAAGGCACAGTGCTCAGCAGTCTCCAGGACACCCCCAGAAGGGAACTCACCTTTGTCTTCATGGCCCCATTTCTGCTGCAGCTTCAGGAAACCCAGGATCATGTCAAGGATGGTCCGCCGCTGGTTGCTCTGAAACGTTTCAAGGGGACTCGAGTCAAGGAACACTTGAAAGATTTCGATCCTGCTCCCCTGGAAGCAGGGAGGACTGTCCCTTCACGTAAGAGTCAAGGAAAGAGTGGACGAGGGGAGCACCAGCAGCCAATGGGGCGAACCCAAGCTCCGTGATCTGGGCCCAAGCCGCAGCTTAGCTCTCTCTCCGAGAAAGGGGCCCCTCGGTTCCCCTGACACCGCCCCTCACCTGGCTGTGCTTGTGGAACTGCTCCAGCAGCAGCGGCAGGACGTTGCTGGTGACGTGGTCGCAGGCCCGGGCAGACGCGCCTGCAGCCGCCTGCAACAGTTTGGCACTAGGCCACACCAGCTTCATGTCCGGCTCACACAGGTGGTGCCTGCAGTCTAGAGAGGCAGTACGTCACAGGCCTGGGAGTAGGCAGATGCTGCCTGCAGTCCATGGAGGCTGGCGGCTGAGACCTGGGACAGTCTGCTAGCCGTTCCACTCAAACTGTTTTTCAACTCAAAGTAGGGCCACGGTGCCCCACTCACTGAACAGGTGGGCTCAGCCACCCAACACGAAAGGTCACTGGCCTCAAGGGATGTGATCTCTGCGCGCTCCCCCTCTGGCTGCCACGGCCCCATTACCCTGTAGGATGCTGCTAAGGAAGGAGTCAAGAAGGTCCTCGGCATCAGCCCTCAGCACAGAGCGAGACAGACACGCAGTCAGGGAGTGGAGGGCCGCCAGCCCCTCTGCCTCCACCCGCTCACTTGCCGTCTGGAACACCTGTCGAGAGGGATCCCGCGGCTCCTGGGGTGAGCGGGAACCAGTGAGGCCGCCCCTCCCCTGCCTGTTCCCTTGAGGGTAGACACGGGCATCCCAGCAGACTGACTTCCCACCAGGTCCTCTGTCCCACTCAGGACTGATCACGCACTTCTTGAGAATCAGACGCCAGTTCTGAGTGGTGGTTGTGGGGACCCCTTTGCTCTCTTTCTCCCCCGCTACTACACTCCTTGTCAAGATGAACAGGATGCAGGTAACGGGCAACAGTAGTCAAGTGCTCGTCTAAGCAGCCCCTAAAAGGGGTTCTCTCTTGCCATCCGGCAGGAATTGCGGCCCCCTGCTTGCCAACTCAATAACCAGGCACAGGACCTTGGCCCTGGGATGGCAGAGGGGAAGGACGGGGTGCGCTACGTCCCCTGCCGACACCGGCTTTCGCAACAGTGAGCCTGCCTAACGAACACTCACCTCTCTGCGGACAGAAGCCCAGAGGCTGGGGAGGAAGGCCTTTAGTTCCTTCTGCCCGTACACAGCGCAGCAAGCATCCTGCCAAGGAAGCCACAGCTGTCAGTCATCCACATACCCAGACACGCCGTGGGAGGCAGGCATATCAGCATAATGGCCCCTGAAGGAGCTGGGACTCAGCAGAAAAACCAGTGGGATTTCTCAACAGTCCAATTCAGGGCACAGAGAAATCGGAGCTTGCCTTGGCTGATAAAAAGCAGCATAAGGGCCGGTAGGCTCACACCTGTCATCTCAGCACTTAGGGAGGTGGAGGTGAGAGACTGTCTGAGTCCAGGAGATCAAGACTAGCCTGGGCAACATAGCTTGACCTCATCTCTATTGTTAACAAAAAAGTTGGGTATGGTGGTGTACACCTGTAGTCCCAGTTACTCAGGAGGCTGAGGCAGAAGGATCTCCTGAATCCAGCAGGTTGAGGCTGTGGTGGCCATGAGCGCGCCACTGCACTCCAGCCTGGGTGACACAGTGAGACTCTGAAGACTCAGGTGGGAGGTCTGGTCAGCCTCTCCTCAGTTGCCACTCAGTTACTACGAGCCAAGAACATTTGCAGCTGAGGCTTTAGGTCAACTCACAGGCCCAAATCCCGGTCTCCCTCTTCTGAGGCCCACGGACTGGTCCCACTGATCAAGAACCGATAGCATTTGGTAGCCCTGACTCATCTGATGGCGGCTGGGTCCTGCAAGGAGAAAACCACTCACCAGGGTCTGCAGAGAATCCAGCTTGGCACTCAGAAGCTCGGAGTCCACCTTCTCAATCAGCAGGGGCAGCAGGAACTGGGGGAGAGAGGAATGGCCTTAGGCCTGTCTTTATTGCTACAGTCCCCCGGGACAGGCAAGTACACCAAAGGGTCAAACTCAAGTCAGAAGCTGTGATGTAAGCTAACCTCCTGACAAGCTGTGGCCAGGGCCCTGGTTACCTGAAGAACAGGCAGGTTGTCAAAGTTAGAGGACTCCAAGAGATAGCATCATATAGGTGGGTACCATCACGTCTAATTTTTTTTTTTGTAGAGACGAGGTCTCGCTGTGTTGCCTGGGCTAGTCTCAAACTTCTGGGCTTAAGCGACTCTCTTGCCTTGGCTTCTCTAAGTGCTGGAATTACAGGCGTGAGCCACCGAACCTGGTTTGTTTTTTGTTTTTTTTTTTAAAGAGTCTCACTATGTTGCCAAGGCTGGACTCAAAACTCCTGGGCTCAAATGATACTATCTCCTCAACTTCCCAAGTAGCTGGATTACAGGCACGTGACACCATGTCCAGCTCTAGATGATGATGATGATGATTTTTTTGTTGAGTTGGAGTCTCACTCTGTCGCCCAGACTGGAGTGCGGTGGCCGTTCCCGGCCACTGCAGCCTTGACCTGCTGGGCTCCGGTGATCCTTCTGCCTCAGCCTTCCAGGTAACTGGAACTACAGGCGTGCGCTACCACG